GTTGCCCACAGGGGTCCATAAGTTGTCCATTCATATGGAACATCTTGATGGACGTATTGCTCCAGCGCTTGGAGCCACTTGGAGCGCTCAGCGCGTATGCTGACGACCTGCTCCTCCTCATCGAGGGAAACGCCCGTTCAGAGCTCGAGCGAAAAGGAGAAGAACTAATGTCCATCGTAGGCGCTTGGGGAGTTGAAGTCGGCGTTGCCGTTTCAACTAGCAAGACGGCGATCATGCTGCTCAAGGGCATACTTAGACGGCCATTGGTACGGTTTGCTGGAGCAAGCCTGCCATATAAGCGCGAGTATCGGTACCTTGGCATCACAGTCGGTGAGCGGTTGAGTTTTCTCCCGCACATCACGGGCTTGCGTGATAGGCTGACTGGAGTCGTAGGGGACATTGTCTCGCGTACTGCGGGTCGACTGGAGACTCAGTCCTCGCGCAAAGCGGACAATATATGCCAGACGCCTGGCAATCAGATTCAAACTCAAGCGTGACTACCCGCTGGAGGAGAGCGATTGGCAATACGGCGTAGATTTGGCAAATCTTAGCTGGAAGCAGAAGATGGCACGACTAGAGGAATGCCTGCTGATCGGGTGGCAACGCAGATGGGATGATGGAAGCCATGGATCGCTGCATTTCTGCATGAGAGAAGCCGAAGCGACACGCCTGAATGTCTATGCGGCGCAGAGCGCGGGGATTGGCAACATGTTCTATGTGTTTGTCTGCTCTATGCAGATTTGCGAGACCTCGATGGACTTGGAGTGCAGTACACGGATGGCGAATGGATCGTCTCCGAAGTGGTGGCTTCGCAGGAGAGGATGCAGTTGCTGGATAGATACGCTGGCGAGGCGTTCTCCAGACGGCAACAACTGATGGACCCAATTTCGACAGACGGGCCGAGAGCCCCGCACTTAGAGAACCCCCTCAAGGGTACCCTATCCGAGCCATTCGGGGCTAAAAGGGGAGGGTCCACTGAGCCCTAAAGATTGGTACCACGGGTTGTTCAGCGGTCCAAGGCTGTTCATTGAGGTAGGCCTCCTAGTGGGAGCATCGAGGTGGCTGTGGTAGCCCAAATTTCACACGGGAAGAGCCGCTAGGCTCCACGTGGAGTTGCGATCTCAACCGGGTGCCGAGACCCTTAGATCGGAAGAAGTGATAGATACACTTCGTTCCTCACCAAGGGGAAAAGTATGCCCGACCAGTATACTTTCGAATTGGTACCAGGATAGGTCGTTATGTATTTGCTATAGCTTCTTATTCTGGGGCGTAAATTGGCGCATGTACCAGATTAACCGTGACATGTGCATTGCACTAAGCACATTACACACCGTGGTTGAAATCCTTTCCTGTGGAACCGCCACGTTAAATAAAGCTGAGAGATCAGATTCATCTGTCCTTATGTTTCCGTTTGGCATACTACGTACTCACACACGCAGGAGTCGGATGCGGAATCCGCGGATTGGCGAAAAAAAAAACTTAGGCTAATCCCTTAAACACACAAAAGAGAACCCACCACTGGGTGAATGGAAGAGAAAAGGCCTCGCGCGTTGCTGAACACCAATTTTTATTATCGACTCGGATTATTTGTGGTCGCTCTTGATCGAGGTTCCCAAACAATGAGTGGATAAAACTGATACACGCCGAGGAGAGGAACGGTCACACTGGCTGTGGCAATATTTAAAGAAATATTGTAAGTACAACGCTCCTCCGTTTACCTTTTGACAGACTTGTGAAGTGAGCAAATTATCTTGTTTGTTTTGTTCGGATGGATTGCAGACGAAATTTTCGTATATTTCTTGCTATATTATGCCATGGCTATCGGAACGAATATGAAATAAAACAATGATTCCGTACACAGTCGGTTTTTACTCGATGCGGAGCAAACGTAGGACTTTGAATTTTTGGACAATTCGTGGGCTTGAATTTACTGATTGGCTTATATTTGGTGTTCGGGCAATTTTTGTAAAATTGAGGTCATCTACATCTTTATTTTTAGCGGCCAAAATTGCTCGCTCACTTAACCATTTAGTATTTTTGTGCTTAGCAATGATATCCGGGAATACTTTGTTGATAAGCTCGTCTTTTGATGATACGAAATTGCAAAAATTTGGAGGAAATGAAATCAAACCGCTCGATTTGTCAACAGGAACACGGCCATTACCGATAGTCAGCAATTGCTTCGAGAAATCATCAGCAGATAGATCGTTCAACAATGCAACTCTCATCTTTACAGACAGTTGAAGTTTCTTTACATATCGCCACAGATTTGATGCTTTGAGGCAAGCGTTTATTTCGTCGGCAGCAGTAGATGGAATGACTGGTAGTGTTTGTCGGAAATCGCCAGATAATAAAATCATTGCACCACCAAAACATCTCGAGTCATTGCGCTGTTCTCGTGCAATTTCTCGTTCTCCATCAGATAATTGACTCGCGATATTCCGTTGCCATTGCATTACGGCGTCGCTGGGAAAGATTAGATCTTCTAGGACGCGGCATTGTTATTAAAATGTGCACTCGCATAAAACCACCAAACAGATTTTTTATTCCCTAAATTCCGTTCCTTTCCGATGATTTTATGTTTTTACTGTAGAATAAATCTTAGGTATTATTTTCGGGAATTAAAAATTAAATAATTAATAAATAATTTAAAATTAATGTCTAAAACAAACAAATATAACAGTACCTGAACTTTGTAGACATTTTACAAAAAATAAATTTCTGAACGCACACATGATGTCTTCAGAAAAAAATAAAGTTCTGGCTTAAAGGTCTCAGCAACCAGGCCATAAGCTCCAAAAAATAGTTGTTACACTATTTGACAGGATTGGACAACAAATGTCTGACATGTAATAAACAAATCAGCATCTATTGAAATGATTAAGTATTCATTAGACATATCGAGTTTTCATTGTTTTTAAGATGTATTCAGCTATTCGGGACGGAAACAAATCCAACAAATCAAAAACCATGGCAATCAGTCCAGCCGTTCTCGAGTTATAAGTGTTGTAACAAACACGACTTTCTTTTATATATATAGATTTATAGCTACATTATACTTATTTATTTATTGATTTTTACTTTTTTACTTTTACTTTTGTTACTTTTACCTTTTTTACTTTTCCTTTTTTTACTTTTATTTTTATTTTTTATTTTGAAAAAAAGATTTTTTTGAAATTAAAATTAATAAAAAAAATTAAATTGAAAATATCATAAAACATTTTAAAATAATTAACGATAGCAATTTGATTGTTGATAGACATTTGCGCAGACTAGTTAAGAAAGAAAGGGAAGAATTGGCCAGAAAATTTGAACTTGTCGATCGCCAAAGAGTAGAAAGGGAATCTGATATTCAAATAGACTGCGAAGATTCTGTAATGCAGGAAGATGTTGAAGTAGTGCAGGAAAATGTTGAAGTAGTGCAGGAAAACGTTGAAGTAGTGCAGGAGGGCATGGAAGTAGAATTGGCACAAGAAGACTTAAATTCAAAACTTAAGAAGTGGTTTGTAAAGCACAAACCCACGCGTAGTTGTGTTTTAGATTTGATAAAGATTTTAAATGAGGAGAACTTGAACATTAGGCAATTTTATAGATTCAATTGCAAGGAAAAGCCTGATATAGAGCATATAGGTGGCGGCTCCTATATGCATATCGGTATATCCAAGCAATTAAATAAATTATCGGTGGTTCAGAATCTTCCCGATATACTTAGCATTGACGTCAATGTTGACGGTCTTCCCTTGTTTAAAAGCTCTCGATCGAAATTGTGGCCCATTTTAATTAGAGTAAATAATATAAGCAAATGTCCAGTCTTCCCGATAGGTATTTTTTCGGGTCACAATAAGCCATTCAATTCCGTAGAATTTTTGTCAAAATTTTCAAGCGAGTTGTCCGACTTAAAGGCCAATGGCCTCACCATTCAAAATAAAACGGTCAGCTTGGAAATTCGAGCGGTTGTTTGCGATGCTCCTGCAAGAGCATTTGTTACAGGCACACCTGGACATACATCCAGACACGGCTGTACCAAATGCTTACAGGTAGCACATAAAGTGGATTCTACATTAACTAACAGCACTCGTTGTGCAGAGTTAGTAACAGAGGAAGCTTTTTCAAACAAATAGTACCCAAGTAAGCATATAAATGATTATTTTATGGTTCAGTCCGCTTTTGAAAAACTGGCGTTCGTATGATAACCCAAGTTCCCCTTGATTGCATGCACCTGGTAGAACTGGGTGTAATGCGAAAGTTTTTGAACAGAATAAATTATAATAAAGTAGAAAGAAAAATATTGAAGGAAAACAAATGTACGATTTCCGAGATATTAACGTCAATGCGTAGTCACATACCTAGGGAGTTTGCACGGAAGCCGATAACACTGTTAGAGCTTCCAAACTGGAAATGCACTGAGTTAAGGCAATTTTTGTTGTACACTGGCATTGTAGCTCTTAAGGATACAATCCATGAAGAGCAGTATTACGTATTTTTATTGCTGCACTGCGCATATAGACTGCTCTGCTCGGAAAAGCAACGCGAAAATAATATAGAAAACGCTTAACAAATGTTGAATCTTTTTGTTGAGAATTTTCCTATTATTTTTGGAAAAAACAGTGTGTCCTACAATGTTCACGGATTACTTCACGTAAGGGAAACTATTAAACAGATCGGAAATCCGATTTCAGGATCGTCTTACGCTTTTGAAAACCATTTGCAAACTCTGAAAAATTTTGTCCGTAAGCCAAAACATATCCTAGAGCAAATTTTCAGAAAAACAGTCGAAGATAGGTACGTGGCTCCCGGAAGAGAACAAATATTGTTAGTAGGCAAGGTTCTAAAGATTGAGAACTGTATCCTTAAAGTTAGTAAGCCAGACAACTTTTGCTTTTTAAGAGGAGATATTCCTATTCAAATCGAGTCATTTGAAGAGGAATTAGGGAACATTTTTATTATAGGTAGAAGACTTAAGGACATCAGATGTTTTTTTAGTATGCCATTAAATTCGACTCAGTTAGGTATATATTTAGTCAATTTAGAAGTGCCAAATATTCAGGAAAAGTTTTCTGTAGAAGATTTTGAACGGAAAGCCGTTGCCATGCCATATCAGGGGGAAATAGTTTTAGTTCCATTTTTGCATTTTGATTAGGTTTTTGCTATTGTTACTTTTTTAAATTGTATGTCTTTTTGTATTAAAAGAATCAAAAGGAGGTGTTTAGTCCGTAGGCGTGATTTATTTGCGAATCGGGCATATCTATAGTGCCGGCGCTATAGATATCTTTGGAAGATTCACCGGCTTGTTTCCAAAACAAACAAACAAAAAAAAATTGTATTGCTTTAAATTCATTTAACATATTTTTTTAGTATGGACAACGAACAATATAGCAACATTAAGCGCTTTGTGTTTGCTTCAGAGCGAAAGTATACCATAAGTTTGTTTGATATATTAAATAAGGATTAACCTAATTCGCATTGTTTTTTCTAGAACCTGAACCAAAGGAACAGCCTGAATCGCGTAAGTATATGCTTTTTGATTATTATTTGTATTATTGCTAAAATAAACATTTTGGTTACAGAGACATCAGAAGAACGGATTATTGCGGCGATTAAAAGTAAGTTATAATACTTTTTTTTTTCTTATATTTTCATTTATTCTAATGTCTTTTAATGTTTTAATTTAAGAAGAAAATAAAGAACTGCACCAAAAAATCGACACTTTGGAACGAAAATTTGATGTGTTGGCGGAATCTTTGGCGGAGGCGTTGGCCCTGTTGAAGGTTCAAGTGAGACAAGATAGAAAAGCCTCCGAATGCCACTTCCCAATCAAATCAAGGGAAGAGTTAGAGGAAATTAACGGCGCCATAAATGAGGAGCACATTGATTTATATGTAAGTGCAAAATTAATATCCTCCGATTTCAGTTTTGTTTTGTAATTCTTTTTTCTATTTTAGACAACGAAACTGAAAAATATTTTGGGGACCGGCCAATCGTTGGCTAAATGTTTAAAAAATGTGCTCGACGAGGAGCTCTTGATGGAATATAATTTGGACGGGACATCAGGAAAGAGTTCCCTGAAAAATTTGAAAAATTTTTATAGAGCCCTGGAAAGTAAGTCTATGTTTTAAAAAAACATAAAAATATATTAATTGCTTCATATAATTTCAGTGGCGGTGCAGTTGAAAATTCCCAATGAGCCCGCTGAGAAGACAATAAGGAAAGCGATTCACAACATAAAAAATGGAGCATTTCAAAAATTATCTAGGGCGATTTAGGGCGATTTAGGGCTCAGGGCCAGCCAGATGATACCCAAATTTAATACAAATAAAAAAAATTAATTAACCAAAAATGAAATACATCACTTATTAGGGCCTTACTTTTCAAGGGAAATTCATCGCTTATTAAGGCCTTACTTTTCAAGGGAAATTCATCGCTTATTAAGGCCTTACTTTTTAAGGGAAATTCATCGCTTATTAAGGCCTTACTTTCGGCTAATTCTCGCTTACTATGTCATCGATTATGCTCCTAGGACATCCCTGTGTTAAAGTAAACAGCCCATCGTATGGCAGGTCATCGCTTATGTCATCGAGCTGCATGACGTTGCCATCGATGTGTGATTGCTTACACATCGCTTAACTGTACTGCAGGGTATCGAGAGTGGTATGTAGATGTGGAGTGGTATGTAGATATGGAAGTATATGTATATGTTTTTATATATGTATGTTGTTTTAATACAATAATTATATGCAATATAATTTTAAGTAGAAGTTAAATGTTAGGACCACTTGGGATTATATGTTAGTTATTTACTAACCAGATACGGAAATAAAAGGAAAAGACATCAACCCAATTTGCTGTGTGAAATGTGTTTAGGTATGTAACTATGTAACAATTAAATGCTGAGAGCGCGTACTTATTAAGGGGGTGGATTGCACGTGGAGTATGTGCGTGTATGTATGCACTTATGTAGATCAGCCGTTCTTTTGAACTGGATTTTGTGTTGTCTTTTTTGGGCGACTGGATTTGGGTGAATATTTTTATACCCCGGGGTGGTGGGTGCGCCCCTGCCTCCTGCCGTCGTCCGCCGGTCGACGGCAACCAGCCCCGTGTCCCCCCCCCCCCCCCGCCGTAACCCGACCCATTCCCCGACCCAAACATTCAGTGAAACGCCTTCGGCACTCCAGTCCTTCTCGTTATATTTAAATTCACAAGCGTAAGCACAGACAAAGCGGAATGGATGCACTACCGTAAAACTGGTAGTTGGAGGTGAAGGAATGGAGAATGGCCGGAATCGTCGATAATATGGCGTTGACGAAAAAGAAAGTAAAACAGAAACTGGATAGCACTGGATGAACAGATATGTATATAAGAATATATATACATATATATGAAACAAAATCGCACTCGGAAGCGATTTGGGAAGACGAAATCGTACTTATCTTCGGAACGTAGCGATGTAATCCACCGATGCTTGAAGGTTGGACTCCTCCTTATGGGGAAGGTGAAGATCCGGCTCGAAGGACCAATGTTTGTAGGAGGGTGGATGTGGTCGGGTCGGCTTCGGTTCCCAAAGAATGAATTCCCAATAAACGTAGTCGGATGTTGCTTGAATTATATGGCTGGTTTATTTGCTAACAAAGTCTCGGTTCGCGGAGCTTGTATGCTTTGTCGGGGGGTGGTATCGACACTGCAATAGCGTTCGCGGTAGTCCAAAGCGTCACTTATGCTAGCTTTTATGTAAGCCCGCTCGGGAGCCGTGTGGATCGTGAGAGCGCTAACAGAGCTGTACACGGGAGCGGCGAAAGAAAAGTAGCGGAGAGCGGAGAACGACGGTTACGCTGGCATGTTAGCAGCGCTGCTGCCCTGTTCAGGCTGCTGCCTGAACACCGTGTAAAGGTGCGTCTAGACGATGCAGCGGCTGCATGAGAAGCTTTTATGTCTGTGAGCCTGCACGCTTTGTTCACACGCTGCAGCATTTATCATGCAGCATTAAGCTTTCAGTTGTGCTCTCGCTTGTGCAAGCACGTAAAATTTGTCTAGCAGCAATATGGACGATAATTTGCTAATGGGAATAACATTGCTTCTGTGCAATAAAACAAAACAAAAAATCTGAAAGGAAAAGAGTCTGGATGAAGGAGTGGTTGACAGATCGTTCGTTCTCTTTCGTAGTGACCAGACGTGTTTTTGTTTTGCGCTCCGCATTTTCCTTTTGTTTAACTTAAACAGCCGGTGTTTTTTATCTATAATTTAACTCTCTAACTAACTTACATTAAAATCATTCTTTTACCGCGGGTGCATGCCTGATAATTGTGTAAAAACACAACTTATTTAATACATTTTTTGCGTTGGTTAGTCGTGTTTTTGTGTTGTTGCTTTTCGTAAGTACGCCCTCTCATTACATTTAGCCGCTCTTTGTCGTAGTTATTGCCTTCTATCACTCTCTCTATCACCTAACTCTCAATAACTGTTCTTTCGCTCTCGCTCTTGTAACTTTTTGTGCAGTAACGCTCTCACTTATAAGCTGTTGCTGCAAGCACTCTCCTCTCTCATCGTTTACCGATTCCGCTTTAAGCATTGCTCTAAGCATTTGCTCTGCACAGTGGTCTGATTGTTATTTGTTTTGAACTTTTTTTCCCAAAGTAAAAAAAAATAAAATACATAAATATGGAATTTTCTGTCGTCTGTGCCAAAAAAACCTGCAAGAAGCAGATCACCCATGACCAGCCCAATATCCCCTGCTGGCTTTGCGAGAGCGTAGTGCACGCAAAATGTGTAGGGATCTCGGGCCGTGTAGGAGACGCCATTTCCCAAAACAACGGCCTACATTATAGTTGTGAGGAATGCCGTGCTGTGGAAAACGACATGCGTTCGTTCATGAGGCAGACGCGAAGTGGCTTCAAAGAGCTGATCGTAGGCTTTAAACAGCAATATGATCGGCTCTTGGCCATGAACACTCAGTTCAGCAGTTTACAGCTGCTGGCTGAGTCTTGCAAGTCTCGCGGGACTTGCAAGTGTCGACTGGCTCATGTCCGCCGGCATCTGAAAAACTTACTCCGACCACTCCCTTAGTGCAGCAGTTGATTACGTTTGCTACTCCAAAGGCAACGATCGCTGCTGGTGATGCAGATTCGGGAGCCGAATGCGTCACTTCGGAGAGTATGCAGTGAGAAATGTCTGTAGAGTCCGTGTCCATCGAGTCCGCACCCAACCACTTAACTATCCCCTCAGTTTCGCTCCCACCAGCTAATAGATGTCCAGGACCACCGGATACTACCATCACAGGTACTAGGCCTGTGGTGCCAAAACCACTGGTAGGAGTCCCACCAAAGCGACAAGTTTTTGTCTCGCGGCTAGCCCCTGACCTCACATCCAATGATGTGACCGCTTTTATACAAAGCAAAATAAAAGCCGTCGGCTTAAAGGTGAAAAAATTTAACTTTTCTTACGCCATGGAGATATCTTCCTTCAAGATAAGCGTCTCCCCAACTCAATTTGAAACCATTTGTTCCGCCAAGTTTTGGCCAGAGCATTTGGTGGTTAAAGAGTTTAAGGCTAAGAAAAAGAATAGGCCCCCCATTACTCTTCCTAGCATTCAGACTAGTGCTCCATCTCCATCCTCATCTTCCACCTCTACTTCCACCCATCTAAAAAACTAACTTCCTCTCTTGTAGTTACCTACCAGAATGCTAGAGGCTTGCGTAGTAAGCTCAGCACTCTTTTCCTTGAGAGTCTCGCATTCTCATCCCACGTTATTGTGTTCACCGAGACCTGGTTAAAGCCGGACATCCTTAGTTCCGAAGTTTTGGCAGGTCGGTACACAATTTTTAGAAATGACCGTTCGTCTCGACGTGGAGGTGGGGTCCTTATTGCAGTGGACTCAAACTTCACGTCGGAACATTTCATGGTCCAGGTTCAACAAGACCTGGAATTCCTGTGCGTAAAACTGATTCTCCCAGGCTTTTCCATTTTCATTACTTGCTCGTATATTCCACCTTCCTCGGATATCTTAATATACGAGCATCACCTGTCCGCTTTAAAAACTGTTTCTTCCTCGCTATCAGATAAAGACCATATGATAGTTCTTGGTGATTTCAATTTGCCAGGTACTGTTTGGTCTTCGGTAAACGAGTCTAATAACCTAGTGCCCATGTCACCTATCCCTGTCTCAAGTCAACCATGTGAAAAATTCCTTGGGTCGATTGCTTGATCTGTGTTATGTCTCGGATCCGACCATAGCGCTGTTAACCCGAGCCCTTCCGCTCACTATACCTGAAGACTCCTACCATCCTACATTCGAAGTGTCAGTCGATATTGGCCCTACTGTATTGGATCGAATGGGTAGGCTATCTGAACGTGTCTGCTGCTTTCGTAATGCCGAGTTTACGAAGCTTAATAACCTTTAGGGATTTTGATTGGTCCGCTCTGTACTTGTGCACTGACGTTATGAAAGGCACAAACATTTTTTACAATGTACTTGACACATTTTTTGATTCTTGTGTCCCACTTTCTTGTCCGGTTAGATCTGGAAAGCCTCCTTGGTTTACCAAAGAGTTATCCAGTCTAAAAAATTTAAAATCAAGACTTTATAAAAAATTTCGAGAAGTTGGCTCTCCCTCTTCTCTTTCTCACTATGTAATAGCTCGGTCAAATTTCTCCGTTCTTAACGCTCAATGCTATAAAAACTACCTATCTCGATGCAGGATACGATTTTCACAGGACCCTAAACAGTTTTACAGCTTCGTAAATAGTAAGCGTAGAACGTCCGCACATCCATCCTCGTTATCTTTTCTCAATATGTCAGCAAACAATGATCAGGCAATTGCCGATCTTTTTGCCAAATTTTTCCAAACAACCTATTCTCATGAAAGCTACTCTGGTCAGCCATATCCATACAGTTTACCAAGGTCGAATGGCATCTTCAGCCCCTTGTTAAATGAAAGCTCACTGCTTCATGATCTTCGTCTAGTTAAGCCGGTGTTTTCACCAGGTCCCGACGGAGTTCCCGGCTGTGTACTTAGGTACTGTGCCGCGCGCTGTGTGGACCCTTGCTTAAACTACTCACCCTATCCATTAACTCTTCATGCTTCCCCCCCATCTGGAAGGAATCTTTTATTATTCCGCTCCATAAGAAAGGTAGCAAGTCTGATGCAAATAATTATAGAGGTATATCTAAGTTATCCGCTATTCCTAAAATGTTTGAAAAAATTTTAACTCCGCACTTGCAACATCTCTGTAAATCACTTATATCTCTGTCCCATCACGGATTTATAAGGCGACGATCAAAAACCACAAATTTATTAGAGTTTACCTCTTTTATCATTA